AATTGATTTGAAAATGACTAATGTAAACTATGTCCAAGCTGTATGTTTTAATACACTTTCATTTTCAGGGCAACTTTCTCGGCACTCCCCCTTTTATCATCCTTTTTACACCCTATAGACACAAAGTTTCAAATATTGACAGTCTTTCTTCACACAATGTACAATTAAACTGTGAAACACTTTGCAACAAACAAACAAACAGTAATGGCTACCCACATGTGATGCTTTAAAGGCAGATTAGGGCCATCAATGCTTAGCAATCAGCGCAGCAATCTATGAGTTCCAATGACATGCTTCTCATATTGGTTGCTGGGGAACATGAAGTGGAGGATATAACTGCATTCATGTTTTGCTGCCAGGCTCTGCATAGGCAATGGATTGCCCATGCGGAACAGAGTCTTGGACTAGCCATGCCTTTGAACTGATCCAGAATGGCTCTTCCTGTATTCAGGTGTTTTCGACACACAGAGGGGGATGTATGAGCATCCTTATTACAGTATATCCTAGTATTATCAGTGTTGGCAACTTCCATGTTACGCTGGTATGTTATTTCATTATTTAAAACAGGGAAGGCAAGTTCTCGAGGTTCAGGAGCCAATTTTCAGCTGCCAGGAACCACATGGCATGGAGTGAGGTTGTAAAAGTTGACAGACTAAACCAAACTAGGAGTGGACAGAAGTTGATATCCTGTTTTGTAAAGGCCATTGCCCCACTTTATTCCATGACCATAAATAACACTCAATTTTGGTCAGAATTAGGGTGGGGAATAGCTAGGGGGGTGGATCTAAGAGAGGCCCACGAGCCACTGTATTCCCAACCCTGATTTTAACAGTACTTTCACATCTGGCAAAGATTCTGCTCATACTACAGTTACTCAGCCTAATGGACATTTATGTATGCTGTATTTAGATGCAATAATAATGACTACAGGATTCTATATTTCTAATATTAATGATGAAGAAACTGAAATTGTTAAAAATTTTCTGTAGCTTGGCTCAGTCGTTACCAAAAAGTGAGACTGTGTCTGGGAAATCAGAGGGAGACTGAGACTTGGAGCAGCAACAATGAATGAACTAGAATAGATAAGTGTAAGGATATGTTGCTGGAGACCAAGATTAAAACCATTCAGGTGACGGTATTTGTGTTTACTATGTATGGATCTGGAAGTTGAACAGTGAAGAAAGCTTTCCAGAGAAAAACTGATTTATTTGAAATGAGGTAACGCAGGAGAGCTTTACAGAGGCCATGGACACCAGAAAGACAAATAAGTGGGCTCCACATCAAATCAAGTGTGAACTCTCTGTAGAGACAAAAATGACAAAACCAAGCTTACTGAACTTTGGGTGTATCACGAGAAGGCAAAACTCTCAGAAGACAGCAATGCAAAGAAAAGGTGAAGACAACAGGAGAAGAGGCAGAGGTAACATGAAGTGTATTGATTAGAGATGGGGGGTATTCGTATACGAATATCCTGGCACAGGTGGCATTAATGTCCACTCATCGATCTGCTCGCCACTCTTCGACCGTGCAACGAGGCTTGTCCTCCCGCCTCCTGCCAGGAGTGGTGAGCGGATCGCGCACTGCAGAGCCACTGGTAGAATTGCGCCGTCCATGTCTGCAGCGGATTGGTGAGTGGACCGTCCGGCCCCATGGGGCTGCACCCTCATTAACACCACCTGTGCAGGGATATTCGTATCCATATAAGAATAAGAATACCTCCATCTCTAGTATTGATTCAGTAAAGAAGTCCACAGCCCTTTATCTGCAAGACCTGAGCAGTGGTTTTAATGCTATAACTTTTAGGAGGCTGTTAATTGATACAAGTTCCATAAGCTGGAAATGACATAACACACATACATTAATTGTCATATCTCTTTAACAGTCTTTTGTTTGATTGATACAGGCATTTATGAATGATGTCTAAAATGTTGTTATAACACACACTGAAAGCATTTGCTGAAATATTCTCTACCTTTGTTACTCAGGTGTTTTTGGACTGCAACTCCCAGAAGCCTTCACCATCAGCTGTACTGGCTGGGGTTTCTGGGAGTTGCAGTTCAAAATACCTGAGTAACAAAGGTTAAGAACCACTGTGTTAGACCAGCTTCCCTTAGAGATGAAAAGTGCTCTATAATTCACCTGAAATTTGCCACAGGGATGAGACATGGTTTCATATATTAAGTAAAATGGAGGCATTGAAACAGTCATATGTATTGTGGCTGAATTGTGGTATGGACTTGCTTATTAGGACATCATCACTTTGATTATTCTGTTATTTTACAGCATGTTTGGGGTGGATTATATAAAAGCAGGCCATTGGTTTAAGGATGACACCTGATTAAATAAATGTTAATTGATTAATTAGCACGTATTGCTCAGACTATATCTCTATAGATTTGCATATGAATCAAAATAGTTTTCAAGGTGACAAAGTAACTACTGGCATTATTTTAAGAGGATGCACCTAGCATTACACAGGAGTTACCACTTCAGGGAAGAGACACTTTTTTCTATGTAATGGAGGATGGAAAATTCCTGTTCTATAATGTTTTCCATGTACATTTTTTCAGAAATCTCTATACTGAATACAACTTTAAGTTATTACCTGCACATTTTTTGATCAGGTTGTTGGGAAATGTTTTTTTATTTCTCATTGATTAATTTGAGTAACTAGATAATACAGGCCTAATTATTAGGTGTTTTATCGCATGGTCATACCTGCATCATAGGGTTTAATTCAGACTTAATGATACTTAAAGCATTCCCATTAAAATCCAGTGACTGAAATCCTGTTCTGTTTTATGCCATGTAAGGCTAATTATGGAAGCATTTTCAATTAAAAAGAAAAAAGAAATCCAAAGTTTCTGACACCTCCGGCCCACAGAATCTTCCATGGGAAACTTTTTTCCTGGAAAAGCTTTTGGCAGCAGGACGCAAGCGGAATGAGTCTTTAATTTCCAAAAATTAATAATGATAGGATGTTATTACCAACAACAGTGATTTGGGGACATTAAAGATTGTTCCCCAATCCCAAATGCTTGCCCAGGAGAAGAGGGATCCTGAGGGAGCCTCAGAACCTTTGAAGGAGATCTTGGAAAATTTTAATTCCCGAAAGAATGGCTGTAGCTGATGACACCACCAGCCTTATACAATATAAAGTTGGGAAGCAGCCAATTTGACTTAAGCTAGTTGGTTTCATTACATCAGTAAAACAAATAAATAAATGACTAAGTTCTACCATGGTTTGAATCATCACTATTTAATCAAACAATATAATCAAACATTCAATACTTTGGTATGCCAATGCAGTGATTTCTTATTCACAGCACTCATGGGATGACAAAACCTTCCTGACTTTTTGTTTGTTTGGCTTTTTGAAATGGAAGAAATGATCACTTATGTGCTTCCACTATATATATATGTAACCTTTTTCAAAAATCATTTTGACTGCAGTCCTCTATCTACCGTACTTAGGAGAATAAGCTAAACAGAACTCGGGGTGATTTAATTCTGAGTAGACATTTATTAAATTGCACTGTTCAGACTAATTGTCAATTTTAACTGAGAAAGTCCCTTGTGGCCCCCAGTGGCTAATTTTTTAAAAAAAGAAAAATTGAGGGTAGTGAAATATAATGAATTTTACTTCCAAACTTTATAAAGAGACAACTGGACTTGGAGCTACTTAAACAAATTGTTGGGGCCATTTCAGGGAGTCCCAGTGGTTTTGGCAGATGCATTTGGGTCCCTGTGCCTCATTGGAGCATTTGATCTCAGCAGAGCACAGTATCTGATGTCTTTAGATTTAGCCTCCCTCAGCTTTCTCTCAAGAAAACATAATTATTTTTGAATAGTTTATAATCTCAATTTTCTGAGATTATTTTATATCTAAAAATCTGTATGCATGTATTTCAGCCTTTCGAACATTAAAATTTTAAAAAAACAAAAACAAGTAGCAAGCTTTCAATGACAAATCATCTTCTTCAAGGCTGTCTTGTGGGCAGTTCCAAGCTTATGTGGTGTTTTTAATGTCCCAAATTCACACAGCTGATGGTGTAGACTGAGGCTGGGCAAGTTTCTTAGATGGAAATAGCTAGCAATTTGGAATTTATGGCCCATGTCTTAAAAGAGAGGACAGTCACAATGTTAAAAGAGAGGACAGGCAATCTGTAGGCCTCCTCCTCCCTTTCTGCCTTTTTGAAACTACTGTACAAGTTTCTCATTAGCTGGGGGAAGAGAAGACTGCCCAGTTAACATTGCCTGCCTCTAACAGAGTTGGGATTAAAAATTTAGCTAAACCACCAGGAATTGTAATCCTAATTGTAAAACATCTCTCCGTCTCTACCAGCCCATTCCTTCAACGAGAGCTCATATTTTTTATGAGGTTTCTTTTGGCCCTTTTAGGCTATGCTCTCAGGGATTTTTGCACTGGCAACTCTTTTGCGAGATACTGTTATCTGTTTCTGTGTTTGGGACTGGAAACATAATTTGTTTCAAAAGTATCATTTTTTAACGAGTTCTTAGTCTGTTTCAGCAAGTATAACAAAAGCGAAAGAAAAATAAATAAAGGCGACAGTATCGTGGGACCTTAAAGACTGAACAGATTTGTTTTTCGGTGTGGTCTTCCTCAGAAAAGTATCCGAGGAAGTGGATCGTAACTCCCAGAAACTCAGCTTGAAATAATCGCTGGTTTCCAGCTGCCACAATACTTTTGCTTTCGTTTTTTGTTAAATATTTATTTCACGGTCCCACTGGTAAGTTTGGTTGGCATTACAATACTGGAAACAGTAGAGGGCAAAAAAGGAAGAGGCCTGGAAGGTGAAGATCAAAGGCAAAGAAAACAAATAAGCACACCTTCCACGGCGAGGCGACGGACAAGGCACGTTTCTTACTTAATCAGCCGCGCAAGTTGTGGGGAAAGCCAGGCTACCAATGAGAAACGACGGGACTTTCGGAACTACATTTCCCAGCAAGCTACGCAAGAGGGGGAGGTAGCTAGCGGTAGTTGAGTGCTGCCCTCTTTTGGGTACACCTAGGAAGTTGAAGGCTGAGAAGGTGACAGTCAATGAGGGGGAGGGAGAGCTGTCTATAAGGGGTCGGGGGGGGCAGAGAGAGTGAGAGCACCCTCCCGGCGGTGAAGAAGGTACTGCAACAGCTGGGCTACCCGGTGCCAAGGCGAGAAACCGGGGTGAGCGGCGGGGCGAGCGGAGGACACCAAAGTTGAATCGAGTTCGCCAAGGGGGCTGTGGTGTCGGAGAGGGTTTCCTCGCCCCCGCCTTCTCCGCGCCTGCTCGCCCGCTTGCTCCGAAGTGTCTGACCTTCACGGGAGGGTAAGTAACCGAGGCGCGGGGCTTTCGCGTACACACGCGGGCGGCTCGACGGCACTCTCTCTCGAGGTGATGTCCGGGAGCGACTGGTTGTGGTCCAAAAGACGCGACGAGAGCACCGCCGCCCTCCTTCTCCCGCTCCCCGCACCCCAAAGTCATTAGTTGGGGCGGGGGGGGGCAAGAAGAGACCGGGAGGCGGGGAAGGCTGGCCCGGGGCGCCCTCTCTTTCTGGCTCCCTGGCGCGCACGGGGTCCTTCCCCCCTTCCCCCCCCCGCGCCGAGCAGGTGGAAGAAGGGGCGAGGGAGGGGAAGGTGCTCTGTAGGAAGCGCAGCAAGGCAGCGATCCCAAGTTGGCAGGGCAGGTCGCCGGAGGCGGTGACGGCGGCGGGCGCCTCTCCTGCGCGAAGGGAGAGCTGCCATGCCGGGTGAGGAGAGGGATTAGTCGGCTCGCTGGGAAAGGACGGGCCGGTGGGGGCGCGCAGAGGGCCCCTAGGTTAGCGCGAATGGGGGACCCCCTGGAGAGGCCCGGGCGGGGGCAGCGAAACTGGGTTTCGGGGCTGTTGGGGTCCCCCCAGGCCAGCTGCCACCTCGGAGCGCTCGAAGGGAGCGGAGGGAAGCCGGTCGCCTCGTGACCTCCAGGGGAGCGAGACCCCCTCGCCAGCCCATGGCGGAACCAGGAGCCATCGAGCCGCCAAACCAGCAGGCGGGCGGGCGGGGAGGGGAGGGGAAGGGGGAAAGAGCCGCCTCAGCTCCACCCGCCGGCGCTCCGAGGCGGAGGGGACGAAGAA